GAGAAGGAGGAGGAGGAGGAGGAGGAGGAGGAGGAGTGGCTCGCGGGGGGCCCTCGGGGGAGTGGACCACGAGCGACGAGCATATCCAGATCTATGCACTTGCGGCCTGGACCCCGAGGCGCGATCCCATGGGCACGCGGCCCCGTGGACGCGTTGAGCGCGGGGCACCCTCGCCAACGCACCCTGCATTCCACAGGGGTCGCGGCCGAGTCATCCAGACCGCGAGGCCGTGGATGCGGACGTGCTTCCCGCTCGCGTGTGGAGGGCGGGAGAGCGGGAGAGCGGCGGGCGAGGAGGGCGCCGCGCCCTTGGGGGGGGGGGGGTGCGCCGTGCGCCCGCAGCGCCCCCTCCTGCGGGCCTGGCGCGGCGCGGGGGCCGCGGCGACATCGGCGGGTCGGTGGGGCGTGGCGGCGGCGCGGCGGAGAGGACGCGCGCTCCTGCTGGCGGCAACAGCTGCTGCTCGTCGCCCCATGGAAGGTCTCGCACGCATCCCAGCCCTCCAGTGTTGGGTCTGCTGCTCCTCTCCTGCCTTCCCTCCGCCTCCCGCCCGCCCCCCCTCCGCTCCTCTCTTCTCGTGTCTCCCGCCTGCCTCCTACTACCTACAGGCAGTGGAGGAAGGAGGATGGTCGCCAACGGAGATTTAAGGCGCATGTGTGTGGTCAGTGACTTTTGAGTAGCGTGTCGCCGCGGCGGCCCCGACGACACGCTACCCCTTGCAAGCGGGAAGCGTGTCGCTCCGCTGGGCGAGGCGGCTCGGGAAGGCTCGGGACGTGGACGCCTGGGGGCCGTGAAGTGGATAGCGTGTCGCACCGAGGCGCGGTGGGCCCGCACCGGCGGAACGACACGCGAAGCAGCAGTTCCCGACCGTATCTCTCGGGGTCTCTGTTGATCGATCTCCACGCTGTGGTCCCCGCTGCGCCCGCAGCCCCTCTGAGAACGAGGCGTGGGTACGCTGCTGGCGCCCCCAGCCGCCGCACCCTCTCCTCCCCGCCTTCCTTCTGGCAGTCCTTTTTTGAAGCCGTGAGCGGGGGGGTGGGGCGAACACGGGCGCTCCAGCAACCCGTGCCAACAACACGGATGCGTCTCAGCATTGCGTCTTCATGGTGGAAGCGCGTTCCAGCAACCCGCGGCTTGCGCTCCAACGCTGCGTCCGTCGTCGCCGCCGTCACCGTCGCCGTCGCCGCCGCCGCCGCCGACGTGGTCGTCGCCGTCGCCGTTGTGGTCGTCGCCGTCGCAGTTCTCGCCGTTGCTGCCGTCGCCTTCGCCGGCGCCGGTTTCGCCACCACCGCCGTCGCCACCGTCGCTGTCGCCATCGTCGTCGTCGCCGCCGTCGCCGTCACCGTCGTTGTCGCCGCGGGCGTCGTCGACGTCGTCGTCGTCGTCGTCGTCGTCGTCGTCGTCGTCATCACCGCCGTCGCCGCGGTCTGGCCATGGCTTCTCACTAGCAGTCGGACTGCACCTCGGCTCCCTGGGTGCTGCCAGCTGCGCAACCGTCGCCGCGATCTTCGTGAGCTCCAGGGAGGTCGAGCGGAGTGCGGTGCCACCCAGACGCTTGCAGGGGGGGCGCGATCCTTGTCAAATGACAGATAATACCATGCGGCCCACTCGCGCCCGTCTGCCGCGTGCGCGCGTCGAAACCCCCTCCACAGCCTTCATCAGCGACGCGCGGGCACCGTCATCGTCATCGGCGTGATCAGCATTGGCGCCGTGGGTCCAGCGGAGTGAGGCACCGCGCAGACCTGAGGTAGACCTCGCGGTCCCTGGGGGGCTGCGATCTGCGAGACTGTCGCCACTTTCGAGGGCTGCTGGTGAGTCGAGCGGAGTGAGGCACCGCACACACCTGAGGTAGACCTCGCCGTCCCTTGGAGGGGGGGGGGGCTGCGATCTGCGAGACTGTCGCCACTTTCCAGGGCTGCTCGTGGGTCCAGCGGAGTGTGGCACCGCGCAGACCTGAGGTAGACCTCGCCGTCCCTGGGGGGCTGGGATCTGCGAAACTGTCGCCACTTTCGAAGGCTGCTGCTGGGCTCGCCACTTTCGAGGGCTGCTGGTAGGTCCAGCGGAGTGAGGCACTGCGCGGACCTGAGCGGGACCTAGCCGTCCCTTGGGGGCCATGCCATGTTGTTGTTGCCCCGCCGACGTTTCAAGCCCCTTGCCCACAGTCTCCTCGTAGACCTTGCGTCTTCCTTAGTGACTCAGGGGTTCACTTAGTTACTCATCGTTTTTTCCCCTGATTGGGGACCTGCGAACCTTCCGACTGCCGCTCGCAGACATATATGCGTCCAAGTCACGTCGCCGCCTTCTCGTCAAATCTCCCAAGCTACTCCTGGCCCGCATTGCGGAAGTGTTGGGTACGTCGCCAAGGTAATTTGTTTTTTCGGCTCGGCATTCTTCGAGGGCCTCTGGGCTGGAGTCAGCATCCTCCCGCCTCCCTCCTTGGGCCATCCCTGACTTCCCGCAACTCGACGAAGGCGCCTCCGATGCGGCCAGCTGCCACGCTGGAGGCGCCTGCGCCAAAGTGGCTGGCGGGGGAAGGCGGGGCATCGCCACGTGGCGGTTGGGAATACGGGCATCATCGAGCAGCGGCTGGGGAAGGGGAGAAGGCAGCGGAAGAGCAGAGCCAGCAGTGGATGAAAAGGAGGGGGACTCGAGGAGGAGGAGGAGGAGGAGGAGGAGGAGGAGGAGGAGGAGGAGGATCATGAGAGAGAAAGGAATATGGACGAGGTATGAGAGAGGAGTAGGATGGAGGAGGAAGAGGGAGGACGGGGGAGTGCCGACAACTCGAGATCGCCCCCCCCATCACAGAGGAGGCGATAGTATCCTACCGCGGGAATCCATGTATCACCGAACCTCTGGAGCGTTTAAGGCATGTCCAGACAACAGGAGGGATGAGAAAGGATGCGAACCAATATGCAACACCGAGACGGGATATCCCACGCAACGCGCAACGACTAATCTTTCTGGCAATCCGCCGATTATCATGCAGCTGATTATCTATCCCTCTACCCTTGGGTATACATGGTGAGACAGATGGGGTCAACGCCGCTGCGAAATAACGAGGAAGCTTTGGGGCTTTATCTTGCGGTAGCGGGATCACTCTCTTTTTCTCCATCCTGGAGCGCAGCCAGGCGGGCTGCGCGGCATCCTCGCGCCAGCGTCGAGGCTCGCTCGACGCAGCCCGCAGCCCTTCGGCTCTGCTGAGGCCTGACCCACTCGCCGTACAGTCAAAACGTGAATGAAGAACGGGTGGTACGGACGCAAGACCCTTGGAGGCCGACGTTGGATTTTTGTTGGGCCGCGGGCGATCAGCGAAAATTGCAAAAAAAAGACGGGCCGCAGAGGCAAGGACACAAGGGCACCCCAGATGAAGGCGCGCGTCCTTCCTGGGCGCGTCGACTCTACCTCCTCTTCCTCGCTGGGGCCTGCCGAACGCGCGACGGCGGCGGGCCCAGCTTCTGCTGGAACCCCTTCGCCTGCGCTGGCCCTCGCCCCACAGCAGCGCGTGGAGCGCCTGCCCTTCTCTGCGTCCTCCCTCAAAGCGCCGCCGTGCCTGGTCGCCGGCGCAAGGCTGCTCCAAGGGAGCTCCCCCGCTCCTCGCCGGGGGCAGAGGTGCCCTCCTGGCAGCGCGCCAGGCGGCGGCAGTTGGCTCTCCGCGGGTGGTCAGGCCACATGGCACCCATCACCACAGTGATGTCTGGATGAGCTTCCCCGCCCTACGGTCATGAACTTCTGCTACGCGTGTCGCTGCGGCGGCCCAAGAGACGCGCTGTGCGTTCCAAGCGGACGGCGTGCCGCTCCGCTCTGCGGGGCGGGACGCTGGGGAAACGCTCGAGACGTGGACGCTCGGGAGACGGGGGCGTGGACAGCGTGTCGGGCCGAGGCCCAGTGGGCCAGAACCGGCGGAGCGACACGCTGAGCCAATGTTGATGACCGCGCCGCGCCCCCACACCCTCGCACATAGAGTGACTCTGTTGCTCGGCAGGCGCGCGCACGTGGCGTCGCGCCAGTGAGGTCGGGCTGGCTAGCGGCAAGACCGAGGTGAGCCCCGTACAGAGACACACGGGCACGCAGGCACACGCACACAGACATACAGGCACACAAACATACTTTTGGGCGGTCGCGGCCTCGCGCGCAGCGACGAGGCGGAGAAAGTCCCCAAGCGAGAAGAGCGCGCGCGCGGCCCCCCCCCCTCAGGAGGAGGGCAAATATCGAATAGGACCGACCATGCGGTACTGTACGCATGCCCGGGCGTGGGCAGCGAGGGTGCAGTGGGTGCAGGGGAAAACAGACATACACACCATACACACACACGCACTTTTTCCTCTGCCAGCGAAGTATCGTCACTGTCGCGAGAGCACGGATGAGCCGCATACTGACTAAGCAACATAGCTTTGTGGATGACAGGCAAGCGGTGAGGCCAGCCCGCCGTGTGCTGCTTGTTGGAAGAGACGTGCCCACAATGTGGAAGAGACACACGCGCGCACACTTGTTCCGACGCGCCCGAGATGTCCAACTAGCGGTAACATCAGCCACAAACAATTGCACGTCCATTACACACCTATGTCGAAGCGTAGCAGGAACTGACGATCCTAACGCGAGACGGGCATCGCCGACCGCAGGGCAGACATAGCCAGGGGGAGTGCAAGGCAAGATAGATAAGCGAAGGTAGTTAGGGGAAGAAGATCGCCAACGGCGCGAGAAGAACAAGCCGAGCCAGTGGAAGCGAAAGGCTGATGAAAGGGCACCCCCGCCTCCCCCTTCCCCCCCCCCCCCACACACACACATAAACACTTTTCGTTCGCGGGCCACTGAAGCACTCAACTGGCCGGTGATGCAACGACGACCATTGAGGAGGAGGAGGAGGAGGAGGAGGAGGAGGAGGAGGAGGAGGAGGAGGAGGAGAAGGAGAAGGAGGAGGAGGAGGGGGAGGGGGAGGGGGAGGGGAAGGAGGAGGAGCAGGAGGAGTCGCAGACACGATGATCACTTATCACCGCGGCCTTGGCTGCCCTCTCCGCGCCCGCGCGGGCTCCTAGCGCCCGAGCCCGGGCCCCGCGGCGTCCTCCACGGCGTCCGAGTCGTCGTCGTCGACGCGGCGACGCTTCCGCGGCGTGCGCGCCTGCAGCAGCCTCGGCGGCTGTCCGCGGCCAGCGGCGGCCAGGCCCGGCGGTGTGCGCGCGGCCGAGCCCGGGGGGTCCCCGCCGCCGTCGGCGGCCCGCGGCCCTCGCGCCGCGTCGTGCTGCGAGGGCCTCTCGGGGCCGCCGCGGGGGCCCGGGTCCTGAAGATGGGAGGGGCCAGAAGAGGCCGCGAAGAGCTGCACGTGGTCAGCGTAAGAGGGAGAGAGAGAGAGAGAGAGAGAGAGAAAAAGGGAGAGAAAGAGAGAGAGAGAGAGAGAGGGAGAGAGTCAGGGAGGGCTGGAAGGAGGGAGCGGTGTTTTTGAGATGTGTTGAGGAGCAGCGGGGCAGAGCTAGGGAGATTGCCCCGCGGGGCGTGGGCAACAGACGAAACAGACAAGGCGCCATCGCACATCGGAGGGCAGGCAGCGTCAGGGATCGCGGCTGGGGGCAGGGCGAATGGAGGCACAGGAACCAGTGCAGCAGTGCATTCATGCCAGACGTTGCTAACACATGTAGCTTGTAGACCATGCTGTGCTCTGAATGTTCAATAGCATGCAAGCCAATTGTAACCATCCTCTTGCAGACAGCGATGAACAGGATGTGGCTTTGTAAGGTGTTGGCGAGGCGAAGATCGTTGCGACATGCTTGCAACATGCGTGGCCGCACAAATCACAGCACTCGTGTGGCAAACAAGATTTCACACTCGTGTGTGGGCAGACAGTTTTCTGGGTACGCCAACATGAACTGATGCACCCAGGCTTCCGCCCTTATCTGTTTCGCCTCAACAGCGCCGAAGACGGTCGCTGGACTTTTCCATGGAGCCAGGACAACTTAAGCTGGCCTCCAACACCGCTCAATATGGTCCGACTTGGCCTCGCAAGGAAGCCACCAAGATGCCGACATCAGGTAAATATTCCAGACGTTGAAGGGCCTTGGCATGATTACTTCTTCTGGCTTGGTGCACCTCAAAGGCCTCTATGAGGACCCCAGAGGACCTCATGAGGGGCCCAAAGAGGATCCCTAGACAGGCGCGCCCTTGAATGGTGACAGCGAAGGTATCTCAAGAACACGCTGTTGCAACCCGCCCTTCTCAACCGCAAGACGGCGTCATGACCCTCATGATATTCTCAGAGCCCCCCCAAGGGCCCCACAAGATGACCCCAAGCGAGGATGCGAAAACAACTAAATTTCATTCACGGCGCCTCATGCAGCATCGCAGTGCCTCTTCTGGAGGGCGAGGAGGGGCACGACGACGACGAGGTGAAAGGATCGGGGGGGCACGGAGTAGAACGAGGAAGACGAAAAGGAGAACGACGACGATGGGAACGAGGAAGAGGACGATTCGGACAACCAGCTCTTCGTTGCGTACGCGTTGCGTCGCAGTGCGTATTGCTTTGAGGCAGGCCTGCAACCTACCACCATCGAAAGAGGTAGCGGAGCCCGCAGAAGTTCCAAAAGGCTCTGATAACGCCCGGATGAATTATCTCAAGGCTCTTCAAGCCGCCAACATGCTCGCAAAGGTTGCTCCTGAGGCTGCCGATGGGGCCTCAAAGGCTTTCTATAAGGCCTCGGAAGGCCCCCAATAATGCCACAGAAGCAGCGGAATGGCAGAGTGCTGCCCCCAGTGTTTCCCCAACGGTTTTCCCCAGCGGCTGGGGAAACTCGCAACCCAGTTGCTGGCAAGGGGGCGCCCACTGTGCCCCGCAGGCGGCTCCAGAACGGCGCCAGTATAGGCCTCAGATGGCCAAACACTTTGGACACACACGCACACACAAGCACACACAATCACAAGCACGATCGCAAACACACGAACACACAAGCCCACAGAAACGAACGCACAAACGCAAACGCACAAACAAACTAACAAACCCATGTGCACGCACCACGCACGCGTACACACAAATGTACACCACGCACAATTTGGTATATGGTCTTATGCCCGGGCGCAGGCTTTTCTGCTCAAGCGTCCCTTCTAACACGCTGGGACAAAATCTGCTCCGACGAGATCCCACGAGGAGCGTGACCAGCATGTATACGAGCAGAACATGTACTACTGACGTCGGCCAAAGATCTCATTCCCTCGCGTGTCCTCTCGGAGTCTGCGGAGTCCCAGTCGGTTGGGGGGTGGGGCTGCGAGGAGGGTCTGCGACTATGGTCGTCCACGCGGCAGTGATCGGTGTCGCGCTGTCGAGGCGACGGACGGCGGAGGCGCGATCTATATCCCCGCCCTCGGACTGCAGGATGCGCTTCGCGCCGCTCCGCTGAGGTCCCTGTTGGCCTGGGTTCGCTATCCACGTTTGGAGCGACCAGCCCCACAAGTGGCTTCCACGTGACATGATAGACATCGCCGATCCGCGCTGGTCTATCACAGCGATTGTCGGCGGCGGGTGTCGGGGGGGAAGTGGAAGCGAGGAGGAGGAGGCCCTCTCAGGAGGCGGCGGGGCTTCTCAGGAGCCCTCTGGTCTTCCGAAACCTTCCCCGTGCCTTCGGGGAGAGCTCTGAGCACTCCTCAGACGGCTCGGGGGGCTGCCGAGCCTTCTGGGAAGGCCCGCCCCCTCCCATGTCTTTCCCCTGGGCTGGCCGCCGAGCCTCGGCTACTGTCACGGAAGGTCCGCCGGACACCGCGAAGTCAACATGCAGTACACCCTGCGAAATGCTTAAGAAATCATGGGTTAAGAAATTCATAGTCTCAGAATTTGAATAAAAACCCAAAAATTCTATCCAAATCTTAGGATTTACATTGAAACGTTAAGAATAATCGATACTCTGGCCGAAAACTTGGGTTTTCTTACGCATCGCCTAAGGTGTAGGAGCTCGACCACAAGGAACCTTCTGCAAGAAATCCAACCCTGGAGCCCCAGGACGTCCACTGGTCTTTGGGGTGGGAGCGTCACGCTGTCCATAGCGGAACCCTCGAAACCCAAGAAACCCAGGGCACCCTGGAGGCAAGCACAGCTTTTCTTGGCATGGGCTTTCAGTGTACTGCCATGGAAGATCCGCCGAGCACCGCCGACTCAGCATGTTGAGGAATAGGTGCGAGCGGAGAAAGACGCGACGCAGAGAGGAGAGGCACACTGATGTTGTCTTGCCATCGCTCGGACGTCCATTCCAGTGCATCTCTCGGTTTCGTGCGTGTATGTTGTCTTCTTCGCAATGTGATCCAAGATGCTCCTGGCCGAGAAAAAAACGCACACGGCCGAGCGATACAAAATTGTTGTTTGGGATGCAACCTCGGAGAACTGGATGACGCCCTCAGGGAGCCGGCAGAGGACGCACAGAGCACTGGTGCGGGAGGGGGAGGGGGACCCAAGACTCCGACATACATAGTGCTTCTGCTTCTCGTAGGTGGCTCCCGAACTCCTCGGCACCCTTCCGGGGACCGGTTTCTCGCCCCATATCGATGTTCGGTGGTCCTGGGGCTCGAGCGTGGCCCTGGCGGGTGGAAGCTGGCGGAACATGATGCTCGCTACCAGTTTTGACTTGCCGAGACGCTGGGCATCTGGGGCGAGGGGGATCCAGACCCCGAGATCGGATCAAGCTCTGCTACTGGACCCCTCCCGCCATCCTGGCCAACTCTGACGGTCCCAGGGCCGGCAGACTCGAGAGACAAAAATGCCCGACGCGATTGCTCCGATCGGGGGAGGAGAGCGGGCGACGACGACGACGGCGGTAACGGCTGCGGCTGCCGTGGCGGCGGTGGCTCTGGCGCACGGCGTCCCGAAGGTCGGGTCCTCCACGGGCATCGGCGGGTGCCCGCCCGTGCTGGAGCCGCCGCCGGCGTGGCCGCCGTCGGAGCGCGAGAACGGAGCGCTGCTCGTGCGGTTCCCCTTCGCGGGGAGGCGGGGTGCTAGGACGCGGGGCAAGGGCGCGTGCGTAATTGCTGGAGTAATGAACTGTTTGCCAGCGTGGACTCCAAGCAGTACATCCTTACAGTCTGGATGAGGAGTAGAAGCATATGCATTCATGCTATATATATATATATATATATATACATATATCTATGTATATACATACACACTTTTTACGGAGTGCAAACTATGCCATGAGCTGGTCGGATAATTCAATGCGGGTCGGTGACTCGGGCGGGCGCGATATCATCATGACGCCGACAACGGCGGCAACGATGATTGCACTAGCGATGATGGTGGCGATGATGAAGATGACGACGGCAAGGCCAATGAAGGCGCCGATGCTGGTGACGACGCTGACGATGATGATGTGAATGTGTCGGGGATGAAGGCATTTGTGCTGATGGCGACGGCAAATGTTGCATTGACGATGACGATAACGGCGGTGAGGCGATGGCGCTGACGAGGGTGATGGTGGGAAAGTGCGCGTGCGCACAAAACACTTGGCTTCATACGTGCTTGAAGTGCTTTTCTCCCCCCCCGCGGCCGCCCGCCGCCCCCCTTTGTCCCCCTCGTGCACGCTGGCCAATTCGCTTTCCGGTGTTCCCGCCTAGTTCCTCCGCTGGTGCAGCCAACTCTGCCCCGCCGCCGACGAAGAATCACCTGACGAGCTCTATCCAGTAGCGCTCGGACAACTAGCGGCCCTGGAAGGATTTCGGCGCACGCGCGCGCGGCTTGCAGTGGCGGCCTTGCCGCAGGGAACTTCAAAGCACCCGTGGGAGGGGGGGCTCCTCGGAGGCAGGGCCCACGGGTCCTTGCGATCATCTGTTTTCAGTGCGGGGAACGCCTCCTTGAAACACGAACGCGCGGACTTGCCAATTACGCGAGTGCCTGGCTTTGAACATGAGCCGCCTTCTATCCCCAGAACTCCTCCACGACATGCCAATCTACAGTACCAGTTATATCAACTTGCTCTGAATGATATTGTATCCAGGGCTCGGTGGGAACTAACTCGGTGGGAACTTACTTTGTGTAACCTCCCATCGAAAGCTCCGTTCTGAACATGCGCTGCCCTCGATCCGTGGAGCTGTTGCGCACGTTTACCCTCCTGGCCATGATTCCCCCAACGGGAGCGCCATTTTGAAAACGCGCTGCCCAGCGGGAACGCCATATTGAAAACGCGCTGCCCTCCATCCGTGTAGCTCTTTCGCAATGGTACACTTCTGTGGTAAACAGTAAACATACCCCTAATCCTTTGTGAGGGTAGCTAAGTCAAGAAGGGCACACGCATGAGGAATATATGGTTTATTGCAGACGTGTCAAGCGGCACCACCCGCATGGTCTGGGATATCCCCAGCAACCGTGGACCAAAGTTAAACCACGCATTACTTGTGTTGTTCGGGCTCGGAGTTGTAGCAGACATCACTCGAACTAGACATACATGCACTACTGTGCCATGCTTTGTCACTGGACATCAAGCCCGCGCTCCGTCGTGAAAGCGTACCGCGCTCCACCATTGTAACTTGCAGCTGTTGGATACCGTCAAGACGAATGCGCGCGGTGCTAGGTGGGACACCCACATCTCGAGAACGCGCCGCCCTCTGTCCATTGCCATTCGGTTGCTGGCGCGCGCTGGAGCCACCTGCGTGCGCGGCGCCAGAGCGACGGCCACGCCTGCAGAACGTGCCGCCTTCCGTGGGGGTGGCAAACGACCACGGCATGCTGTCTAAGAGCGAGAGTGCGAAACCTTTGGCCTAACGGGCCCTATTTAGGTGGGAAGAGCGATGATCTCGAACCGCGTTCCTTCGTGGCCTAACGGGCCCTGTTTTAACTGAAGAATCACGGCGAGCCCGGCAGGCCTGAGGCCTGCGCCGCATGGGGAGGATAGCTGCGGTCGGCTGCCCTCTGGAGCGTCAGGTCGGCGTCTGGTCAGGTGCGTCGGGGCAGGTTCGGCTGGGTAGCCGCCCGCGGAGCCCAAACAGTGCCAGCAAAGCGCCCGTGATCACGGTGCGGCGCGGCGGGGCCCAACGGTGTGCAGGGGTGGGGCGTCATCGCCATGTGCGGGAGCGCTTGTCCCCTCTCCCGTCACTGCTATTGTCGCCGCCGCGTTTGCCCGCGGCCTGCCAATCGTCGCCGTCCCATGCCTGCGACCATGACCATGAGTCCCAGATCCAGGGTTGGCGTGAGCTTGTGGCGTATCCCTTGTGCTGTGGGGCGCTGGTGCCCTGGTATCCTGACCACTTGTCGCGCTCCCGTTCCCATCTGACCTGGAGCCCGTGTTTGCGGTCCATCTCGTAAGCATCGTGCCCGCAGCGCTTCCAGGCGTCAAGGAAAGCACGGCACGTGTCTTCTGGGTTCAGCGCGGGGTCGCTCTTCGGGCCGTTGGCCCCTGCTGGGTGCGCGCGGGTGTAGGCGTGCCAGATGCTGCTGAACACTCCCCCCAGGGTCTCTTGGAGACGGAGGATCTTGGCAGAAGGTGTTTCCGCGGTCTTGTCGAGATCGACCTTGCCCAGCCGTTCCTTGCGCATGGGGCCCCCTCCGATGGGATCGACAAGGTCGTCAAAGACCCGCTTGGAGCCCCATTCGCGGGGGTTGGCGAGCGGCGGTCTCGAGCTGGCTGTTTGGGTTTGGGCCCGGGGGCCTGGGGCAGGCTGACTGGAGCTGCCTGGCTGGAAATGACGATCGCGCCGCCGCGGGGGGGAGGGGGGGCGACTGTCTGACGCTGCTGCTGGTGAGCTGCTGTTCTCCGGCTTGCGTGCAGGGGGGGGGGTGCCTCTGCGGAAGGTCGCGTGTCACCTTGGGCGGTGGGCTGGCGCTGGCGTTGCCCCTCGGCTGTCGTCGCTCGGGCGGGCCCCCGCTGAGGCGCCGGGCGTCTGATCCGCACGCCCCTAGCGGGTCGTCGGGAAGGCCGCCTCCGGTTGCTGCGTCCGGTGCCCCGGTCGATGGAGGGGGCGGGGGGCCCTCAGGTCCGACCGAGCCGTCTGGTGTTCCGCCGGGGGGAGGTGTGGGAGTCGGGGGGGTGGCGTCGCCCTTCTCCTCGTCGTATACCCGTCGACCTCCGCCTTGACGGTGGGCGCTGGGCTCGTCGGGGAGCAAGTTTCCTCTCCGTGGGGAGAGGAATCCGCGCCCGGGCTCCGGCTGCAGCCAGGCTATCGTGGTTTCCCCCAGAGTCGGGGCGGTAGCTTCGTCAACGCGCGGGGCCGAGGGGCCCTGCTCTGCCAGGATGGTGATGGAAGTGGCTGCGAGGGTGCCGGAGTCCAGGCTGGCGATGAAGCTGGCGAGGACTGTGAGGTCATGGCGGAGGGGGTTCGGCCCCCTGGTGGCGGCTACGCTCTGGTGATGGGCCGTCCATGCAAATTGGTGCTTGGAGCTGTGTAGCAGGTGCCCAACTACCCTGGCCGCCGCCCGCCTCTTGCCCTCCCAAGTGGCGCCGTCGAGGTGTCCATTGTCAGGGGCCTCAGGGCCGTGCACCTAACGCAGGAAAGGGGCAAGCTGGCGAGTTGACCACGAGGTCTCCAGGTCGCTCGGGGCTGGAATATCGGCGTCGTAGTCCTGGGCCAAATTCCTCCGCGTGTCGTCCAGCGTTGGGTGGTAGTCCCGTAAGTAAGCGACCAGGGTGTGGTGGGCCTCTTTTTGCTTGTTGCGCCGTCCATGTTTAGGCACGCTTCCCTCTTCGAGGGATCAAGCTGCAACGTTCCTGCGACATACTTTGGGGACCTCTGGAGGACGTGGGTCTGGGGGGAGGGCCAGGATCTCGGCGACCGTGCGCCAGTTCAGGCTGTTCTGCGGTCCACTGTCACTGCCCCCCCGTCGCCCTGCTGTGGGCCCTCTGGGGGGAGGCTGCGGGCGTCGGGGTCGCAGGCGTTCGCGTCCGCGAGCGCCGGTGTGAGGAGGGCTGCCAGATCTGGGGCAAATTTCGCTGGTGTCCGCCTGCGCTGTCTGACGTGGGCGGGCTGTCGGCTGCCGCGGGAAGACGCCCCTGGAGTCGCGGTCCATGACGTGGTCCAGGGTTGCAGGGGCGACGTTCCAGATGTGCACTAGGCAGCTCCGGCAGCGCCATGTGGTGTTCCACTTGCGCTGGACCCGCGAGAGCGGCCACTGGTCCCAGCTGAGGAGGCCTGTTTTCCCGTGGCCCGAGCCCTCGGGCTCAGCCTTCCAAAGGAAGCAGCCGAGCGCTGGCGCGTCCACCTTCCAGACCAGCAGGGGCCCCGTGGGGGGGCATGTGTCGCGCTTGGCGGAGTGGGGGCCTACTTTAGAGGCGTCGTTGCCGAACCTTCCGTCCGAGATCCTGATGGCCGGGATCGTGTTGTTCGCGAACCGAAGGGCGTGAGGTCCGGATGAGGTCATGCGGAGGTCGCTCAGACGTCTGGTTTCTTCCGCGATGGGATCGCGCCAGTATCCCAAGGGCCCGGGGCAGGGGGGCGGTGGGGGGGCGTGGGCGACTGGGTCCTTGCCACGTCCGTTCCGCCACGTTGTGTAGTCGGAGACTCTGGCTGCGACGGTCGCGCCCGTAGGGCTTGGGATGCGCTGGATGTTAAGGTGAGCCGCCCAGCAGGCCTCGCGTGACCACCTGAGGTTCTTGCCGTCCAGGTAGGCTTGCGGCCTGTTGCTAGCCAGAAGATCCCTGGCCGTGTCGTCCTCCCAGGTTCCGTCGGCGTGCTTCAGCTTGTAAGTCTGACAGCGGTCGCAGGTGAGGGAAGCGTTCTTCTGGTCGCACTGTAGCCTGTCGTCGGTGATGGTGGGTGGGGCAAGCTTCGTGCCCGGCGCGGGGGCGGGAGGTCTGCGGGACGACAGGTCGGTTTTGGAAAGGGCTGTGCCCCCCCCGACGTACCCGGGGGCAGCGTCGGCCCTGTTTTCTCCCAGGCCCGAGTCGGACCCGGCCAGGGCCGCGTGGAGGGCGCAGATGGAGCACTTGTAGTCTGCGATAAGGGGCGAGGTTCGCGGGGGGGACGATTGCCTCCAGGACTAGCATCGGAACC